CCAGCACAGCAAAGCCTGACCAGCTGACACATCTCCACTGATACAGGGCAGGACAGCTCAGACAGAGCCAACACGTGCTCTGCAATATGTTCACTGCTGGTTTAGAGCAGCACATTACACCAATGCCCCATTCAGAAGATGTCAGGCTGTGTTGGCACATGGTCACAATGTGTTGTTACATGGTAATTTTCCCCTCAGCCCAAATATCTCTCTAGCTCACATTCTGGCCAGCCGCTGCAAGGTAATCCCAGGCAGAAAGAGGGAAAAAAAAAATCCCAAATTCGTTCCCTATTGAGCCTGTGTACAACATAAATCTGTCCCTTTTTTTTCCCCCTTGGGTTTCAGCTTTTTGCCTGGCTGCAAGGAGACAGAGGTATAAGAGGAATACATTAAAAAATGCTTTCTTAACAACAACCACAAATTCACCTGTCTCCTCAGTGCTGATACATTTTCCTTCAAAAGTTTGCATCCTTTGACATCTTTGCAGTCCCTCCATGTTCCTGCTGCTGTTTCTGAGCAATAGATAAGAAAACTTCAAAACCTTGCTCTGCAATAATGAGATTCAAAAGAAAAGATTTTTTTTTCCCAATCTTTCTACATAAAAAAGGCCTGAATCAGAGCCCAGCAGTGCACAAATATTACTCATGTCATTGACACTAAGAAAAGGGGAGCTGTGAATAAAAAATGTTAAAAATGAACACAAGGAGCATTGTTTGCATATCAGAAAAATTAATCTACATAGAGAAGTGTAAGAGCCTGCAATTCAGAAAGCAAAGAATTAGGACAGCCCAGCTGAGAATAATTTTCTAGCCAGTTAATTTAATTGCATAAATCATTCCTTTGTTAGCAATAAAGAGATATAATTAAAATGAGATTGCTTCTCATTTCTATTCTCTGGAAACTAAAGGAATTGATTTTGGGGAAAGCATTCTTCCAAATACCAGATCGGCAAATTACATTTACCTTTTTAGAAAGGAGAAATTATTTTGCACTAATATCATGGAGGGTTTAATTAATTATAGATCTGCCATATGATCTTAAAGAAATAATTTACTCAATGCCCACAGAACAGAAGTTTGTAAGTGAGTGCATCCCTCTGATAGATGGTGTGCAGATTTTTACAAACAGGTCACAGGTTGAACAGGTGGCTGTCAGGAGAAATAACAGGAATATAATAAATGTTTAAAGATAGGGGAAGGTTTGTGAAGAGATTATAAAGCACTGCTTCCTATTTATTGGCACATACCTGGATTACTGGCCTTTGAACCCCTCTGAATTGGTTTTCTTTTAAATATTGTAATGATGGTTGTTTTCTACTCACAAATCTTCAGGGCTCAATAAGCAGTAACAGGTTAATAACAAAACAACAGTCAGAGAGGGGAAAAAAAAAAAACCCAGACATAAAGCCCACCAATTAAAGAGAATATTGCTTTTGCTGAATATTGCAGGGGTTGGCCACTGCCAGGCCCCTAACAGGGCTGCAACAAACACATCAGACAGGAGAAATTCTTTCCTGTGAGGGTGGTAAGGTTCCCCACAAGGCTTTGGCTGCCCCTGGATCCCTGGAAGTGTCCAAGGCCAGGCTGGACAGCGCTTGGAGCAGCCTGGGATGGTGGAAAGCGTCCCTGCCATGGTAGGGGTGTTGGAACAAAATGAGCTTTTAGGTCCCTTCCAAGCCAAACCATTCCCTGATTCTATGACAATATACTCAGCATCCTTTGGGATCCCTGCCTTCTCATACCACCCTTTCTTTGTAACTCCTTACCACGCAGAGGACCCAAAACTGAAAAAATTCTGCCTCTTCCATCCCATTTTACCCCTCCAAGGGCAGCCCCTCTTGCAAAGCCTGCTCAGAAGGCAGGGAGCAGAATTCATTCCCTCTCTGCTGCAGCAGGATGGGGCCTCACATCCACTTTCTCCCTAAAACAGATGCTCCTTTTTCGAGGAGAAAGTGGATTCTACATTTTTTGATTCTACAGTTTTGAAACCAGTGGCCATCTCATGAACATTTGTGGTGCTGCCCACTCTCTCAGCTGTTCTTTTTGTCAGGCAAAAGCTGCCACCCTTCCACCTTCCTCCACAAGAAACTCCCCTGGCCACCAAGGATTCCCAATCCCCACAGCTGGGGCTTTTCAAAGGGCAGAACACCAGGTACAAATTTAAATCAGGTACCAATTTAAATCAGATACAAATTTGAGTCAGGCACAAATTAATCAGGTACAAATTGGGGTCAGGTAAAAATTGGAGTCAGGATGCTTTGATAAATTCTCCAAACAGTCCCACAAAGTCTTCCACAGATCTCAGCAGGTTGCCCAGGATCAGCACACCTGGTAAATCCTCCCTACACACAAAAAGGTGTCTCTGCCTCATAAACTCTTCCTTTTCTGAGTGCTTTGGAACAGAACAGGGGCAGCCTGGGCTCAGGAACGTCGTTCCCCATGGGGACCACCGTGGTGGAGTGACAGCACAGCCAGCAGCAGGGACTGTGCCCTGGAGGAGACAGGTAAGGCAAGAAATGGGCTCTGCATGCAAGAGTTAAACAGCAGATAGATTAGATCTCATCAGCTGAGTTTTCCAGGAAAAGCATTGTGTTGCTATGGAAACCCCAACATAACCTGGGTTTTCCCTCCTTTTGTTTGTTCATTTTCTACAAACACTGGCCTCTCCCAGTCCTCCCCAGGTGGACGTGCAGCTTTCAAAAACAGTGATTTTTTTTTTTCCTTCTAATGCCCATTTCTCTTTGCAAGTACATTTTTCAGTGATTGCCTTTCTCAATATCACTGTCCCAGCCTGCAGACTCTCTCTTTGCAGTAAGGACTGGTTAATGTGCTGCCCATTTGAAACTCAGCTCCTGAACACCTTGCTGTCATTTCTTCATGGGGAAAAAGGGACAAAAGCCTCATGGTAATAAAACTTTTCAGTGAAAAACCACATGGGAAGTTTATCTTGTCACACAGTTTCTCCATTTCCAGCATCTCAAGAAACAGCATTTCCTTTGGAAGAAGGAATTTTGCAGGCAACAAGAATTTGGATGTTCAGCTCCAAGTTTTCTCCTTGGTCTTATTCCCAGGTATCTCCAGCCTATTTGTATATAATATATATATAAAATAAATATATATATATATAATAAGTGTATATAATGATACATTTATTTTACTGTATCATAATAAGGATTGCCTTTAATGAGCCTGATGGAAACATCAAGAGAATCTTTCTAAAACATGCAAGATGATACATACAAGAGACCTCAGCACACAAGTGCCTTTATCTGCCAGATTTCTTTACCCTGCACCTCACAACCTCATGATTTTCACACTCCTTCCTACTTCCCCTGCACAAATAACAGGGAACAGGCTCCCAAGTGCAGGCTCCTTCCTCCAGAGCAGCTCCTGCTTTGGCAGCATCAAGGGTCATATCCTTAGATGGAAATATATGTCAGTGAGTTTGAACTTGTAGCTTACCTGGTGCTGGCTAGTCCCAGGATTTATGGAAGCTGAAAAGCTGTTATCCTGAAGCTGAAGATTCAGCAGGTTTTCCTTTGGCTTCCTCAGCAGAGCTGTGGCAGGAATGGAACATGAATCCAGGGATCCAGGGCCACTCTCCGTGCCAACATCCCCACCAAGTGGCCAGCTCCCAGCTCATCCCTCTGTCCCAGCAGCTGAAAATGTGAAAATACAAACCTGGCTCGCCTGCTCTCACCCAAAACCTACAAAATCTGACTTTTGAGACTTTTGAGACTCTGAAGAGCTTTCCAGCCATACTCTGGAGTAAAGGCAAGAGAGGAGTGATAAAGAGATTTCTTTCCATCCCTTAAAAGATGCCCTGTTAACCCATTTCCCACCTTAGCCACTGTTATTTTTTCTGCTTGCAGAATTTAAAAGCTTGCGTACAGATAGATTATTGTTAATAACTCCACACATTTCAAACAAGTGTGGCCAGCCCAACTTCCTACAAGCTTTATATTATATGAAATACTAAAGTACATTAAAAAAAAAATACCTACACTTTTAAACAGTAGCTAAATCAGAAAGATTAGGAAAAAAATAACAAATAAGAAAATTTTGACAAACACTGCCCTCTTGAGGGAAAGGGAGCTGCATTGCCTCAGCAAAACCATTCTCCCTTCTCTGCTCTCCAGGCCACACTAAACCACCTGCCTTGCCATGTGGCTCAAGGTGGGTAGAAGTTTTTGACAAGCAGCAGTAGGAATCAATTCACACCTAAAAATCAATTATCTCTAGATAAATCATACCTTAGTTTGATTTATAACTATCCTAGGTACAAATAAGCAACATTGAAAGCACAAGAACCTATTGGAAATACAAAAAACCTGGGAATCAAGAGTTTTTCTTTCTTCATGAATTGCAGCGTTTTATCTTACCCAAAATCTGAGAGCAGGAACCAGACTCCAGCTTTTTCTTTGTCCTGCAAATTCCTCATCAGTGGGATACACAAGCATCATCTCTCCAGCCTAAGGATCTTGATCTGCTGATTGGAATAATCCCCTGCAGTATCTGTTGGAAGTTTTTGGGAATATCTCATTCCCCAAACAGTTTTGATAAGGAAGGAGATGCTACTGCAATATTTCAGAGTGCACTGGTGGCACTTGGGGACAGGGTTTAGTGCTGGGTCAATGGCTGCATTTCATCTTACAGGGCTTTTCCAACCAAAACAATTCTGTTACAATGGGAAAATAATAAAAAAAAAAAGCTTAAAGCAAAACTTTAGAAGAGTCTGATGCCTCCATAAGAGCTTTAGAAGGAACAAGCACCTGCCCTTCCTAACTGACTTGCTAGCACCTCTAGAGATGAATTAAAATTTTAAAGATGGCTTAAATCCTCCTCCTCCTTTCATCACAAAAGGCTGCTCATAGCACACATTCCTACAAACGCACAAAGCAACATTTTTCAGCTGAAACCTTATGCCAAGTCAGTTAGGGGAAAGACACAAGAGAAAAAGGCTTAAATATCTTTATTTTATTTTTTTCCAAATAATGAAAACCATTCACAAGTTAAGCACAAAACATCAATCTATATTTAAAAGCATCCTAACACAGACTGATGAACACAGATGAGGGTTCAATACCCCACAAAGCAGACAATTCAAGCACAGAGAGGGAGTGTACTGTTAACTAAAATGATAGTAAAATTACACTTCTGAGTATTTACAGTTACAAATATTTATGTTGAGAGTAACTTGGCATTTAGATGGATGCTACTGCTCTGTCAGGATTTCATCTTAATTGAATAATGGTGGTGGAGCATCATCTGGTACTGACTTTTCTTGAACATTCAAGGCACCAGGTGTTCCCAGACCAAAATCTGCAGAACAGTTTCTACAAATGCAGGGTTCTGTCCAAAATGTTGAGCAGTTTGGTGATAGCAATATTATCACTAAAACCAAGTGCAGACTGAAACACCAGAAACTGTTTTCTTATCCACATCAGCAAGCTCATGACATCAGGATCAGCCTGGAAAGCTAAACATGTTCTGACAGAGTTTTGGAGAAAACTGGATTTGCCTGGAGTTATTATCCCTCCCATGCAAAGCAGGAGCTCTTGAGTTCAGGTATGAGCACAAACACAATGAAAGTAGAACACAAGTTCAGACAGGCTTAAGAATCATTTAGAGAAGACTGAATGCTGAACAGCCCTTCCCTTATTTCATCAATTTTTTCTGCTCTTGAGGCTGCAGAAGCCTTTACTGCCTTAAGGAGAGATTCATGACACTTGTCCACTACAGCCTTGAAAATTAGGTGTATTTCCTGGAAAGAGAAAATAAAGGGGAAAAAAATCCATCAGCAAAGTTAAAGATTTATCAAGCACAATGTCAAGTGAGTGGTCTGGTGGACTCAAATGATTTCAAGGGTGTCTCATCCATGGCTTAAAAAGCAGCACTAACAGAAGACACTACAACAGGAATGTAAGAAGATTTTGGAGGGGTAAAAAAAAAAAAAAAAAAACACCTCACCTTGGCTTTTTTTGCTTTTTCTTCAGCTTTTTCCTCCAGCTGCTCAATTTGGTCCTTTTTCTGTTTGATTTCCTTGCGAATGGCCATAACTTTGTCACACACAGCACCCCTCTTCTCCTGGACTTTGTTGAAATGTCTAAAGGTGACAGGAAAAAAAAGTTAGTACTGAGCCTTTTGACTCATTCCAGATGAAACTGAAGCCCACCACAAGCAAACCTTGCATTTTATGAGCATAAAACCAGCAATGATAAATAGAATTTACTTTCTCAGAAATTAATGTGATTTTTAAACTAGAACAACTTATGTACAAGAAGTGAAACTCATACTTAGCAGGAGCCCATATGCACCTTTCCACCTCAAGGGAACAGTCAGGATATTTCTTTTATTCACCAGCAAAAACTCTTTTCTTCAACCAAGGTTACCTCCCTTCCCCTCTTGCTTATCAAAGCATTTAATTTTATCACTCAAGGGAAATACCTGACACATTAAAAACAGAAATAGGCAGCAACTTTTGATGAAAAGGAGCATAAGATTATGTTGCTTTCATTGCTAAATTAAAAGCTGCTTCTCACAGAATCATTTAAGTTGGGAAAGACCTCTGAGATCAACCTATGAACACCCCCTTGTCACTTTGACCATGGCTTGGTCTTTCCTTGAACACGTGCAGAGGCAGTGACTCCACACCACCCTGGGCAGCCCATTCCAAGGTCTAATCATCTTTCTGTCCAGAAATTCCTCCCAATGCCCAACCTATTTTCCTCCCAAATCATTTCTTTTAGCTGGTACAATACACTAAGTGCCACTCTGCACACCAACCTCAAGCCTAACTAAATCTTACTTGATTTTCCCATCCATGTGCAAGCAGCTCCCTTCCATCACAGCCAATAATGTTCCATATTCCCTTTCCTCTCTATCTGTGTAGATGAAAATTGTTTAAAAATCAATTTTTCTCCCTAAAAGCTCAGCACTAAGCTCACAGTGAAGCTAGCACCTTCCAGGGCTGCAGTTTGGTGCTGCCTTCAGCATATGGGAGGAAGGAAGAGGGGCTGAGAGGCTTTGATCAAATGACACTTTTCCTTTTGTTTTAGAAGCATCATGTCAGGATAATGCTCCTCTGAGATGCGAGCCCCATTTCCCCATGGGTCTTGAACATCTTTGATAATGAGCAAAAGTGGCAAGGGAAATTATGAAAAATTCATGAAAGGCAAATGGGGCTTTGTTGAAGTCTGATAAGTTGGAAAATTATCCCAATGTGACATTCTCTTTAAGAAGATAAAAGAATCAAGAATAAGCATTATAAATTAAATTAGTGCTCCAATAAAAGAACTGCTGTCAAGTCACATTGCAATTATTGATTTGAGACCCCAAATCCCTGCCTGCAGCATATTCCTGGTCCTCATACAGAGCTGTCCCACACTGCTCATTTTCCCCTCAGTGCTGAGCCGTGTGTTTGCAGCAGCCATGGACTTTGGCAGCACATAACAAAGACATAAAGCAGCAGCAGCAGCAGGCAGAAACATCAGCCCCTCCGTACTCGAGCACGGCGCACTTGTGCAGCTCAATATCTTCGCGCTTCTTTTGGAGCTGGATCTCAGCTGTAGCCAGCTTCTCACGTTTTGCAGTCACCACTCTCTTCAGGGACATTTCATCCGCGTTGGCCTTTTTCAGCTCTACCTGAGAACTCTCAAGTTGGTCCTCCAGGTTTCTGATCTAGAGTACAGAAATACAGAAATAACTGCAATAGAAATAAATTAAATGGGGGCAGGAAATTATCAACACAGCATAGCCTGTAAATGTGCTAAGATTACAAGTTGCTTTTTGAAGATTTGATTGCCAGCTCCCTGGTCTTTCTCTGATTATAAATACATCCAACTGGACAAAACCCCCTCCCCCAGGACAGCTTTCAGAAGTGACTGTGACTTCTGCTCTAGCTTTTTGCCAAGTCTCATTTGAACACATGCTATACAAATACCCAAAAAGACTCCATAACATTTTTCAATTGCTCCTAACAACTCCATTATCCCAAAACCTAGTGGCAAACAGCAAAGGACTGTATTGTGACAAACATTTCATCAGAGAATGACTGGCTTAGCAATATTAATAAATTTAAAGGCACTTAAGACATGACTCTTCCTTAAGTAACAATTTTTTATTCTTAGTTTTCACTCTCAAGGCAGAAGAAACTCGATTTCACTTTTTTTTCCCATCATTTCCTACCAACAACCCCAAGACAGCTCCAACTATTTTAGGTCAGGTTTCTATGGCAACAAAGCCTTTGACTATTCAAAGTGGTCAATAGCTAGTGCATAGTACATTAGCTAGTGCCACCCAGCAAAGCAGCAGCAATGTTTTACTGACATTTTTCAGAAAGAATTTGGAAACTTCAAAATGTCATTCTTTACAGCGAAAAGGAAAGAGGGGAACATTGCTTAGACATCAAATTTTCCCTAACAGGATATAATTTGGATAATACAGACCTCTGATAATACACCGGCCAGTCTCTCCACATTTTCTCCCTGTATTTCCATCTTCTTTTGGTATAACTGCAACTCCGCTTGGCATGATGGCAGAACATCTACTAAATCTCTATAACGTTCATATTCCTCAGTAGCTTCTTGCTTTAAAGAGAGAAAAAGACTATCAATAAACAGCTTTAGAGTTCTTTTACATAGAATTAAAGTATATTGAACTTTGAACCCTCCCCTCATTGTTTAAAGACACTAGAAGTAATATTTAAGAGGTGGTGAAATGAGCTCTTCATAAAAAAATAAAAGAAAGGCATTTATTTGGAAGCATAGAAATAAAGGTGACATACAAGTGTTTTATACTGAATTAATCAGTAATCAGCTTTTAGGAAAAAAAAAAAAAAAAAAAAGCTGTGCAGTGAAGAAATTCTACACTGGTAAAACAAGAGTTATGTAAAGCTTCATACCTAAAATTACAGCAATTGAATTTACACCTTTGGAACAAAAAAAAAAACCTTCAGAGGCAAAGTGCCAACCACTGAAGTGTGAGCAATCTCAAACCACAAAAATCAGTGGAGATTATAATTTTAAAAAAGAATAAATAAATCTAGGAGGGAACTCGGTGTTCAGCATATTAGTGAAGACAGCTATTGATTCCAGAAACAGTGAATAACAACAGAAGCATTATGAAACACATGTTCTAAATCCAAGGATATTTGGGAGCTGACAAAATATTGTCTCCTCTGGAGAGCAAACAGCCAAACAGATTCAAAAGTTCAACACCTGATTTTACAAGTGACTGCAATCTTGCTTTTCAAAAGGAAAAATCAGCCTATTAAAAATACACCAACCTTCAATTTTCAGAGGCTGTGATTTCATTTCAGACCAACACCTGTCCCGCTGGTGTTTCACCATCACTCAAGAAGCAGCTCTAGATGATGACAGTCCAGTAAAACATGCATTTTCTAACAGAATACCTCCTTGTGTGGACAGAGGAGAAAACCTCACCTTCTCTTTCTTCAATTTCTTAATCTTCTCTTTCATCATCTCATTGTAACTCTTCCCTTCTTCTGGACTCTCCACAATTTTGGATTTCAGCTGCTCTTTTTCTTCTTTCAAAGCAGCCAAAGACACTTTGCACTCATTCTAGGTAATGACACAAACATTTTCACTATTAGTGATTAGGTGAACAAAGAGGAATTGTGCAGCAAGGTTTGCCATGGTTTTATGCCTAGACAGGTTATTTGGTGTGTAGTCATTCCTCATTAGGAAGTTGTAAAAATAAATTCCTCTAAACACCATTAACACCCCAAATCAAAGCAATCAACAGCCAATTTTGCTTCCCACATTTGCTTAAAGGGGTGCAGAAGAACAGCAGCTAACTGGTGTTTTCCACCAAAAGCCTGCTAGCTAATCCTAGAATGGTTTGAGTTGGAAAAGACCTCCAAGCTGATCTCATTCCAACCCCCTTCCATGGGCAGGGACACCTCCCACCAGACCAGGCTGCTCCAAGCCCCATCCAGCCTGGAATACTGCCACAAGCTCTCTCCCTCAGAACTCCTGACCTAGGGACACTGAGGCAGTGACTGCAGCATTCCAGAGCCAGCTGTGTCACCTTGGGAGAACAGCAACAAGTTCCAAATCTCCTGTTGTGCCTCATTAGCCCACTCTATGCATGCAAGGTAAACCCACAGCACCTCAGAGGTCCAGATTTCTAGTGACTTCATTCCAAGGATAATCTGATCCTAGAAAGAGAGATGATTTCTCAGTTGATCTGCAGCCAGCAGCCACACAGAGGTGTACTCACCAGTTTTTGGTTTCTCTCAGCAATATCTGCCTTCTTTTGAAAAGTCTCTTCTTGCAAAGCTGTCTGAAAAAAGAAAAAAGCACCAAGCTTTCAACAAGCATCTCTACAGCTGCTACCTTCCTTATCCTTTTTTATCATAGATCTGTCCATAGGAGAAATCCTATTTTTGGGTCCTTTGGAATGTCCTAACCAGCAGAAAAAACTGCAATCTGTAAGATTTCAAAGACAGGAAAAGAGAATATTGTCACTAAAACCACTGGAAGCACTGGGGAGGCAGCCAGCAGTGGGTAACTAGGAATAGGGATAAGAAATTGGCCATCCCTATTCTTATTGACCCTGACAGATATTATACCTCCACAACTTTCTTTGCCAGGGGTTCTCTTCTTCAGGGAAAAAAATGATTTAACATAAAGTCCCAAAAAATAGTCTAACACAAGGTTAATAATGCTAATAACAGAGACATGAGTTGACAAAACAAAAAAATCCTAACCATAGATTATTTTCTTTCTCCCAAAGGAGCTAAAAAAGTTATCCATGAGACCTGAGAGGAAAGTTTGCACTGCTGAAAAGTTACCCCTGCAGTTAACCCCATTCTTTTTGCCAGGCATTCCCTTGGGTCTCATTTCTTGCCATGGCCCACCTCCAGTTCCAATTTTTGGAATTGAAATAGAAAACAAAGAGGAACATCCCTGTGTTCTTGTTTGGAAGTGTGATGTGCATCTCCCAAGTCATTGCAGAAATGCATTTCAAAAAAAGAGTCAACTATACTTTTGTATTCCCCAAGTCTGATTTAAAGCACATTTCACATTCCTCACAGTGAAACAATGAGGGGCCCAACAGCATTTTGCTAAAATTACCATTGTTTTAAGTCAAAAAAGTCTCTTTTATCCACTGAGTTAGATGGAAGGGAATAAAATAAAGAGAAGTGAGGGACCCACAGCAGGTTTTCAGAGAAATACAGAACAAGGCCCTACTTGTTTGCGACGATAGTCCTGCCTCAGCTGCTGCTCCAGCTCCCGAATGCTCTCTGTGAGCTGCTTGATCTCTGCCTCATGCTCAGCTGGGATTGTGCTGAGGGAAAAACAAAGATATTGGGCAGTTTCAGCATCATTATAGGCCAGTCAGAGTACAGCAGATAAAACAATCACTGCCTCCACAGAGTTTACAGCCAGCAACTTCAGTAATCAGTGCAAGACAGTCTCAAGTGAATATATCTTATTTTGCTTTGCTTGTAAGATTTTGCAGTTGAAGCATAATCTAAAGAGATATTTTGGCAAGAAGTGGCAAAAACATAAAGGACTAAGTTTAAATATCATGTTAAGCAAAGCATGAGAAAGTACAACACTCCTACCAATTTTGGTGGTGACTTTCATTTATGAAATTTGCATATTATCTCTCATACAAATAATTTATATTAATGCAGACCTATCCCAGCTAGGGAACCCCCAGCACACACCAAGAGCAGCTGTCAGAAAAAAAAAAAAAAAACAAAAAACACTTTGTTTTGAAAGCTCTCTTGGAAACCAGCCATTTCTTCATCCTATTATCCACAAGCAAAACCAAAACTTAATGGTGCAAAGACACAGGCAGTAGGGCTAAATGGCCTGAAAAAGAGATATTGTGGCAAACATGTCAAATAACTAAGGAAGACAACTTTACTCATGTATTAAGTTAAAGATGAGCTTCCTCCAGCTGTTGAAGGGATCAAGACACATCACTAAAAGCTAAGTAAGAGCAAAAAGTTTCAACCTAGTTCACCACACACAAATACAGGATTCCCTCAATTCAACTATACACTGTAAAAGTTTCTGGGATTTTTTTCTCTGCCAGCAGGGAATAAATCCCCTCAGCTCCCTCTCATCAGACTTGTGCTCCAAACCCTTCCCAGCTTCATTGCCCTTCTGTGGACACACTCAATGTCCTTATTGCAGCAAAGGGCCCAGAATTGGATGCAGCACTCAGAGAGTGCCACAGGGGGATGGACACTGCCCTGTGCTGCTGGCCACACTTGCTGATGTGGCCAGGTGCCATTTCCTTGGCCACACTGCTGGATCTTGTTAAGCTGCTGTCAGCCAGCACCCCCAGGTCCTTTTCTGCTGAGCCACATTCCAGCCCCTCTTCCCCAAGCCTGCAGCATTGAACCAAGTCATTATGACCCAAGGATGGGGCTCTGCACTCAGGCTTGTTGAGCCCCACACAACCGGCCTGAGCAGGAAAGGCAAGCAGAGCATCTCACAGTGCTCACTCCACACACTCACTTCAGTTTCTCCAGCTTCAGTGTTGCCTCCCGATTCACAGCCTCCAGGTGTTGTTTTTTCTCCATAGCTAATTTCTGCAAGTTAAATATTTCATTTTAGAGAAGTGTGCTTTCTCTCTGGGCTTCTATTAGAGCCTTGCTCATCGTTATTTCACATGAATTGCACTACATCTCAACTACTGAGATGTTCAGAACAGAAGCCACCTACAACCCAACTTTTCTCAAAATGGTACAAGGTGTCAATCCTTCACTTACCAGGCTGAAGTATTCAATAATTTATTGCAAGGGGAAAGATATATATAAACACATATACATATATATGTACATACTTATATACAGATTTATATGTATGTATATATACACGTATGTATGTATATATACACATATATGTATATATGTATGTACATATATATACATACATATATATAAAATATATAATATATACAATATATATTATGTTATATTCACTATATTTTATATTATACATAAATAATGGATAATAGATAAAATATCTATATTAGATATAATATTTTGCATTATGCATTATTATTACTATATATATACATATATAATAATGTATATTCTATAAAAATATATATTATATAATATAAATAATTTATATACATATGTAGTATTTATTTTTCTCCCCAGTATATTGGAGGGAAAAAAAAACCCTCTCAGTAATACCCAAAGTAATAATCAGTATCTTCCTGAATTATTTGGCTACATTTAACATCCCAACATGTTACAAAAACCTGAAGTTAAAGCACAATCTTCATGCTCCTGGTTCTAGGTTAATATCAGTTGTACTTTTATAGGTGTTTGAAATAAATCAGCATCTAATCTTACATAGCTCTGTTGCAGCTCCAAGTAGGCCTCACGCCGGAATTCGCTGAAGTTCACAAAGTTGAGGATGCCACTCAAGAAGCGAACTGTCCTCTTGGTCTCTGAAACAGGAATTGCACTGAGCTGCTTTCCAAAAGCATTGCAATGGCTTCCAAAAAGTTGGGCCAAGTGTAATTCAAGGAGACAGAAATTACAAAATACAGCCCAAATTAGTTCTTCCCCCACTCAGCTTGCAAAGACTTCAGACTACACAAAACCAGCACCAAGCTGGTTACCAGCACTTAGCAATTCTGTGTAAATTAACAAATGAATAGTGGCACCTGGGAGAAAAGGCTGTTAACACACCAGCCTCCCATTCCAAGAAAAGCCAGACAGAGAAAGAGTGTCAATCTTGAACTACAGCTCTGAAGAGAGAACCTCTCTGTAGCTATCAGCCAAACTGAAGGCAGCAATTTGAACTGCAGGGACTTTGTCTTTATTCCAAGCAAACTTTCTGAAAGATGATTACAAAAGCTTTGAATGTCTTAGACAAGACAGATCCAGAAGTGAAAGATTTCTTCAGAGCAGCACTTTCCAAGCTGTCTGTGTTGTGGCAGAATCACAATTGGGTATTGAAAGGAGTGGAGCACAGGCATAAGAAATCCCAAAGCATTCCAGGGTAATTTTCATCCCCATCTATTATTACACTGTCACAGCCCATCTCCAGACCAGCAGCTCAACAGATTGACAGCATTCAAAGCTGCCCTGACTTACTGACTGCACCAGCCCACATAAGGAATAAGAGCTGTCCACTAGAAGCAGCTTGTTTAAGGGCCAGAAGAGCAGCCAGAAGGACATTTCCCCACACCAGACACCCATCCGGCCATGCCCAAGGAGAAAAAGCACCCAGGAAGGAAACACAAGGATTACAAGGCACTTGCTTACTTGGGCTTAAAACATCAGCAATTTGGAAGTCATTGATCCGGCACATGGGCAGCAAGCGTTCCCTGCAAAGAGAACAAAACACAACCTCAGCTGCAGTGATTTTTGGTGACCATGGCTCTGTTCTTGTCCTGTAACCATTTGCTGCAAATTAGATCTTGTCCTCTCATCCCAGAGCATCTGCCCAGCAAGCACAAGGCAAGCATCTTCTACTTACATGTGGATATACAAGTTACAGACAGGTAGAAAGCCTTCATGGATCTGTGGGTACATGATGTCAACGTTGAGGGGCATCTAAAGAGTAAAAAGAGAGTCAGTGCATAAGTAGAGAATACTTAAAACAAAAATTATGCAGCATTTTCCACAGCATAAAATAATCCAAATAGATTAAGACACTGAGGATGATCTTCCCACCTACAGGAAAAAGATATTAAAGGCTGAAAATGTCAACAAAGTAAATAGCACACTATTTTAAGGGCCAACTCTGGCTGGAAAAGACAAAAAAAAATACAATAATAACTAAAGCAGCAACATTACAAACTCAGGAACTGAATCAAAACTCTGTTTTATTTACTTCCTCACAGCACAGCATGGCAGCTGCTGGCACTGCCTGGGAAGAACAGAGTTTTCTTGTGCACATACTACTCCTCCCTTTCAGTTTATCCAGAAAAGCCATGAGGTAAAACTATTTATTCTCACTTTCAAGGATCAGTTCTTGTCTACCAGAGACAGTAGGTAAATTAACTGTTGGTCAATTTAGGTATCAGCGTCTCCTCACTTTCCTCTCAGTTAATGAAGGAGCGGAGATGATAAAATATAAAAAACAATATTTACATTCCTTCCAGACCGGTCCAACCTCCTCTGTCAGGAGCCCAGTATATATTTTCAAGGCAAGGTGTCCCTCCAAAAGCTTGTCCACTCCCTCCTGGACCTTACAGACATTTCTGGCACCCTTAGCATCCCAAAGAACAGGTAAATCCAATATTTTTTTCCTTTCACATCCCTGCCACAGGCAGCCCTACCATGTAGGCGTGCTCCACTCGGATCCCACACATTTTCTGCAGGATTCTCAGGTAAATCATGTGTAAAACTTCAAGCTGCAGGAAGAGAGGACATGAATCAGGATTCTATATGATTGATTACTTAGGGCTGCCGGCCAGGCCATGAAAGCATTCAGCTTTTAACACATGAAGGCTGAGTTCACTGACCAACCAAGGCAACCAAGTTTCCTTTTCAACATTTTGCAGTTCAAGCATTATTTGCTGATAATTCAGTTTTAAGGGGCAGCAGTCAGCTCAGGCAATTACAGACAGCCCTGACTGTGTGTGTCTGGCATTGGTTTTCATTACACTGCTGCTTGCTGAGCAGTTTCCAAACCAAACAATGCCAAAAAACCTAAAAAAGGTCCCAGAAATGATAATCCTGTAGCAACGAGTGCCCGTCATAAATTATTAAAATTAAGATGAAAAAAATCACCTACAAGCCATACAATTATCCATTAATAGCACTAATCAGTGATTAATTTTGCTACTTAAAAACCATCTAAACAAGCAGGGCCAGACCCCTCTCACCGCAGGCTCAAAAACAGGCAACAACAGCACCGGGAATCACTCGGAGGCATCAACTCTGCTTTAAAGCCACTTTTCTTCACTCACTAACACTAAATGCTCAGAGTGATGAAAAGGGGTGAAGCAGGGAGGGGTTTAAAAGCACTAAATGGATCCGAAAGATGTTTGAACTATTTTGAGTTCCTGGGGAAGACAGGCCATGCGCTGCTTAAACCTGAAATTAAAGCACAACCTTCACGCCCCTAATTCTAGGTTAACATCACTTATACTTTTATAAGCATCTGGATTAAAACAGCACCTAATCTTACATAGCTCTGTTGTAGCTCCAAGTAGACCTCACGCAGGAATTCTTTAAGTTCACAAAGCTGACACCACTGCGCTTCCCAGCGAGGCCCGAGGAGAGCCCCGAGCCCAGCCCAGCACGTTCCACCAAACCCCGCGGTCCCTGGGGCCGGCCCAGCGTGCCCGTCCCACACGGGAGCCGGAGGGGCCCCCTCACGCACCTTGGGGTTGCCGAACACGTCGCTCTTGACCAGGTTGCGGGCCTCGGCGCCCTCCAGGATGTGCGAGCGGAGGTAGCTGATGATGTCGTCGGGGCTGTAGCGAGGGAAGGTCATGGTCTCCATGGCGGCGGTGGCGGCAGGGACGCGGCGGTGGCGAAGACACGACGGGAATACAACGGCGGCACCGCTGCGCGCCCACTGCTTGAATCCTTCACGCCCCGCCCCCGCACCCTCACTGACCTATCAGAGACCGTATCATCATCGGGAGGCGGGGCTCAGCGCGTTCCCGCCCTCTCTTAACCTATTAGCGGCCGCGGTGTCGTGGTGGGCGTGGCTTGGCAGGC